AGGGCGGAGCTAGAAAAATTATTTTGGGGGCCAAAACATTATGATGAATGAGAAACGGGGTCAGTGAGTATTAGGAAGATACATTATGGGGCCAAAGGTGAGTTTCAGAAACTGGGTGTTTTAGCTAAATTCAAAAACTTGTTACAAGGACCAAAATAATACTTTTATATTAAATTAAAAAAAAAAAAAAGAAATTGTACGCACTCATCCCATTTTTATTCTCTGAAAGAACCTAGGATTTTAAGAAGGGAGAATAACATTTCCCCACCCAAGCTTTGGCGAAAAGAACTTGCCCACCCGTCAAGTTTCAAAACGTCACTTTTCCACCCATCTTTATGTTCCTTTATGAAAATCCGTTCTCTGACATGGTATAAACCGTGTAAAGACGAAAATACCCTTCTCTTTTCTTCTTCTTCTCTTTTCTTCTTTCTCCTTAGCCACCTCTCTTCTCATTGTATTTTCTTCTTCTTCTTCACTTTCACCAGCTCCAAACCCAGTGAAAATATTCACAAAGGTCTTTTGTTAGCTCCTCCTCTTCTCTCATATTCATATCCTCTTTCACATTCACTTCACACCAACAAAATCACACCAATTGGCCCGAATCGACCAGAGAAGATGCGATTCGGCCGGAATCGCACCCGGCCAGGTGCGATACAGGCCGTATCGCACTTTGCCGAGTGTGATTCCGGCCAAATCAACGCAGTCAGATCTATGCCTACCATTTCTTTCTCACGCATCGCTGACCTCTCTTCTTCCTCCTTTGCTCATCTCAAGGTCTGATCACCTCAACACCTTAACCAAACCGCACCCCACCTCCACCATGCACCCATCAGCCAATCCTCCACCCCCATCTATCATTGTCTCTCCCATCTTCACAAAACCTCCATTAATCAAGAAAATCCACACATCCACAAACCCACAAACTCCACAAATCCATAAATTCATAAAAAACATAAATAAGAAAAATGTGCACGGAATAGAGAGCGGTTGGCTTGGCAGCGATTTTGGGCAGAGGGAAAGAAAAAGAAACGGAGAAAAAGGAGTCGGGCTGGAAGAGAGGTGGGCTACAAATTAAAGCTCACTAATAGAATTTGAGGTAACGATATACACTTCCTTTTTCGAAAGAAACATCTTTTCAGTTTTTGTTATCACTTCCTTTTAAGTTTTTGTCAAAGGTCAAAACGAAAGTCTGTAGTCCAAGGAAGTAGTTTGAAGTTGAGCTTTGGACTAGGGGAAAGTACGAATCAGACTTGAGTTTTTAAGGGTTTCGCTAATGGCACCCAACTGACTCTCTTTGATTTTGTGGTTGCTTTGCAAAGTCTAGGTGCATGACATTCGAGAGAGCTGAGAAGAAGGCCATGGAAGCCTAAGCCAAATGAAAGGAGAATTTCTTGTGAACGAAAATTAAACAACTATATATATATATATATATCTAATACCATGTACACCTCCTGAAACATTAGAAAGTTTCTTAGACCCCAGAAACTACAGAAATTATAGTATATACCCCACGTCGTCTATTTTGGCTATTAAATTGGATGTTATTATGTTAACTATGTTTGACCTACAAAATGTCTAAATTGCCCCTGAAGCTTTTCAACTACAAAGCTTTTGTGTGTCGACTGTTGTTGACCTCTGAAATGTCTGAATTAAATTTTCCCTAAAGCTTTTTTTAAATATTTTAAAACTTTATACAAATTTATGTAAGTTTATTTTGAATAAAAATAGGAAAAATTACTTAGAAAATGTAAAAAAATAAAATAAAAATAATCTTAAAATTTAAAATGGACTAAAAAATATGAAAAAAGTTAAAAGTTGAAAATAAAATTTGAAAATAGAATTTCTATAAAAAAAAATTGATTAAAAAAAAACAAAAATTTGAGAAAAGTCAGGTGGCCAAAACTTTTTAAAATTTAAACAACAAAATGTTTTTATAAAACTTTTTAAGATTTAAAAACTCAAAAAAATAACAAAATTTATTCAAATAAATAAAATAACACAAAAAAAAAAAAAAAAAGGCCAATTTTTGGGTTCTAAGAGAGTTTTTGATGTTTCGGGGGGTGTAACGTAAGTTACTTTAACCCTGTATATAAATTTATTAGTTTACTGTATATTAACCTAATTAAATGAATATACTGTACAATAAAAACATCTAGAAGGAACTAAAACAACAAGGTAAGAATGTCTCTTGATGATTTGACACTGAAAGAACGTTCAGAGAGCGGATGTTATCTTAAACAGACAGAAAGTACTTTAGTAATTATCCTACAACAGTATTAATGGTTGCTTTAAGCCACCCCATTGGAATCATTTAATTTAAAGTCCATATTCTCTGCCTTCTATTCCACGCCTCACATATCTCCAATCTAAGTATCATTCCTAAATCAACTCTTCAATCAGATCTTGACACGTCTTCGCCGACTATTGGACCTCCTTTTTTTCTTCCTGAAATGAAGCTATATAAGAGGTGTTGAACACTGAACTATACAATTGGAAGTTCTTTTGTAAAACGACACAGATATCAAAATAGTTTCAATTTGATCAACTAACTTCAGAAACTTGAGGTAATTTTCTTTCTATCAAATCTGAGTCCCTTGGTTTCAATAACGCTACATCCCTTTTAAATCTCAGTTGGTGTCGTGTTAGTGTATGAGCATCATAATTATTGCCTACATGAAACTAAATAATATGGCATTGTTACTATTCTCTTAAGAATAAAATGTTTAGAGTCTGCTTGGGAGTTTTTTTTTCATTGGTTTTGGGGGGTTTTTAATTAGACTGGTTTTGAGGTGTTTAAAAACTCCCACTTGCTAGATTTTTAATAGACTGGTTTTGACTGGTTTAAAAACCCCCTAAAAACCAGTGTAGTGTATTTTTGAGGGGTTTATAAAATACCCCAAATTGAGGTGTTTTGGCTGGTTTAAAACTTTTATCCCAAAAAAACTCATTTCCACTCCCTTTGCTACACACAAATCTCTCGTTGCTGTTGACTTCTCTCTAACACACAAATCTCTTGCTGCTGCACACGAAGTGAGTGAATGGTTTTAATTTGCTACACACAAATCCCTTTGCTGCACACAACTTGTTTGTGTTTGTATTAGATTCTTCTCACTTTCAGCAAATTAGGCGTCAACCAAACTAGGCATTTTGGTTTCTAATAATGTATTAGGCATCAACCAAACCAGTGTAGTTTGTTTCTCAAAAAATCCTTTCAATAATAATAAGTATTGACTATTACATCTTCTCAAAATCTGAAAAGAAAAAGTTATCAATTCACCAGCTATTTAAAAACTACCATTTTCAACGCCTCTCAAGCAAACCGTGTCCAGTATTTGATCGCAATCTGTTTCTCCCATTTAAATTAATTTACAATCTTTCCTTTCTTTTCAAATTTTATTTGCTTGCTATTATTCTTCACAGGAGTCAAAACTATGTCCAGCATTCCAATTTGATAATTATAGTGTCTTCAACTCTTACTAAATCGGATAACCCAAAACTCACTTAAATTTGGACACAGACTAATGATAATGAAAGTAAACCCAAAACCAGGTGTTAAATAAGAAACATAAGTACAACTTTGTAAAGACAACTTTTTCACAAGACTGAGTAGCTAAAAACATGCAAGTCAAATTTATGACTTCAAAGTTAATTAAGCAAAAGAGAGAGTGTTTTAACTTTATGGGTATTTATGTAAATTTATCATTTAAAAAAACTGTCAGAACCGTTGGAAAATAAACTCCCAAACACAGGTTGGGTGTTTTAAAAACCGTTACTAAAAACCTCTCAAAACCGCTACGGTGGTTTACCCTCAAAACCGCTACGATGGTTTACCCTCAAAACCGCTACGATGGTTTACCCTCATAACCGCTACCATAAAACTTTCAAGCAGACCCTTAGTGTATCTGATTTCGTATAAATGTTAAAAGGCCGTATAACTGTTTGCTATTTCAGATGGAGTGGGGAAACATTTACATAAGACGCATGAAAGTATACATGTTGGCTTTCAAAGTTATCTTAGACTATAAGGTAATTAAAGTTAATTTCTTTGTTATTGTTTACTATTTTGATGTGAAGTGGATGGAAATTTTATTGACTTATATGGTGTTAATTTTTACAAAAGGCTGTACAAACAAAAGCGAAATGGACTAAAAAATCAAAAAGACCTGGTTTATGGGAGAAAGCTCATAATCGCAATGGTAAACGAATTGTGAAACTAATAAAAGAGTTGAATGGCTTATGGGTGAAACTTGGACAATACTTATCCGGACGTGCTGATGTGCTTCCACCAGAGTACATAACTCTTCTCAAATCGTTGCAAGACTCTCTTCCTCCTCGTCCTTTACATGAGGTGATTTCTTCTTTTACCTTTGTATATAATTAGAAGATAAATGGAAGTTGACTTGTCACCATTTCATTTTATAAAGTTTTATGAGTTTGTTCTGTTTAAATTTGCAATAATAATTACTTATTTATTCTTATTTTCTGTTAAGTGTAATATCAGTTGACTATTAAGTGTCTCTAAATTGAATAAATTAAAACTTGAAAACATTATACTTTAATTGATTAAAATAAGAGATAACTAGTACAACTTGTAAGTTTCACGAAATGATAGAATCCACCCATTGGTATGAAAAATAGAAGGTTAAACATTATCATGTTTAAATTTGTTAAATTGTAAATTGACAGAACAACAATTTTAGTATTCCAAGCTGTGAGAGGCAACCTACAACAAAAAAAATCAATTGATATATTATTAATTAATGAGCATTAATTATAAAAAATTAAATTAAATACTCTTTTACGCTTCTTCTGTTAAAGTAAAAGGTACGTACTATTGTCTAATTAAAGATATAGGGCTCAAATTTACAACCATAGTTACGAGTAAAAGTCAATTATGCCCCTGTAATTTTACAAAGTTTAACTTTCTGGATAATTATGGCCTTTTTAATCATTCATCCTTTGATGTTTTAGAACCTAGTTGATCACCCCCTAAAATCCTAATTCTGTCCAACACTTGTTAAATGCGCAAGTATAAGGTGATCTATTCTCTCTTTTTTCCTCCTTTCCTTTTTAAACTTTCTTTCTCTCTACCCACCTTGGAACCACCACCCAGGATCCCCCTTTCTTCACCGTAACCATCTCTCCCAACGGCAGAGCAACTGTGCACCAGCAACGGTGGGGCAAGACGTTTCCTTTACTCGTGCGCCAACCACGGTGGGGCGAGACGTTGCCTCCAGTCGTGAAAAGAAGCAACACCAAGGTGCAAATAAGGTGTTTGATAAAATCCAATCGAGTTTTGACTTAGATGATAAGGATTGGCACTATGCCAGATCTGAAAGGAGGGGAAAAGAAGGTGGAGGAGAAATAGAAAAATGAGGGGTAGACACAAGAAAAAGAAAGGAGGGAGAGAAAGAAAGAGAAGGAAGAAAGGAGAAATGCCTTTTTGCTGTCTAGCACGGTAGCATCTAGCAAATGTTGGAAGGACTTAGGATATGGTGGCGAAATGTGGCCACCGCCAATACTCCCGTAGTGTATGTGCGTATTTTTCCTACATATTCAGAATATCTAAGTGGTAAGTTTTGGTTGCACAGGTTTGTCAGACCATAGAGAAAGAATTGGGTAAATCAATGGAAGATCTCTTCAAGTATTTTGACAAAAATCCTTTGGCAACAGCATCAGTAAGATCCTCGAACTATAGTTGATAGTATGAGCTATTGGAATAGTAAGTACATTCCGGGATTCTCATGTTTTAAGCTATGTAGATTGCACAAGTCCACCATGCCAAGCTGAGTGATGAGCAGGATGTGGTTGTCAAAGTTCAACATCAGGGCATCAAGAAAATTATCTTAGAGGTTTTACATTCTTTTGTTTACAAATAATGTATGCTAAGAAAAACATGCAGTCATTAAATTCTTATTTGGTATCCTATAATTTTATAGGACTTGAAGGATGCAAAATCGATTGTTGACTTGATAGCTTGGGCAGAACCGCTGTATGACTTCAATCCTATTTTAGATGAATGGTGCCGAGAAGCTCCAAAAGAACTTGACTTCAATCTTGAAGCTGGTATGATTAGTTTTTACTTGAATGAACTGCTTTGTCATAAGTTTTGATAAGATGTTTGGTTCAATGGTGGAATTTGAAATGACAGGAAAAAAAATCACGGATTTTGCACTTCCGTTGTGTGGATGTATGCTTTAATTTCATCAATTATTTTTCTTATTGGTGCTTAATAATTTTTCTTATTGATTCTTGTTGTGTTTCTAGAAAATACCAGAACTGTGTTTAGAAATCTTGGCTGCAAAAACATATGCGAAGATAACAAGCCAGTCAATAAAGTGGATGTTCTTCTTCCGGAAGTTATTCAGGCATGATTTTCACTATTATTATAAACTTAATGTGTTTAGTCTGCAATCTGAAGTTTAGGTGACTCAGAGCTAGGGGTGTTCATCAAACTGAACCAGTTTTTTGGTTATCCGAAAAACTGGTTTGGTTTCGGTTCAAAGAAATACAATAACTGATTTTCCGGTTCGGTTACCAGTTTACGAGAATATGAGAATTGGTTAACCGAAACCGGTTTTATAAACAGGTTTATTATAAAAATATTAAATTCAAATATCAAATAAAAAAAATCCGGTTTATTATAAAAATATTAAATTAAAAAAATATATAAATATTAAATATTAAATTAAAACCGGTTCAAAACCGGTTAACCGGTTTTTTGGTTAATTGAAAAACAGATTTTCCCCTTAACCGGTTTGGTTTCGGTTCAGGAAAATTCTTGAACCAGAAAACCGGTTCGGTTCACAAAATTTGTTAACTGGTTTTGAACACCCCTATTAGAGCTATCTTTAAATATGAAGGATAGGAAACCTGGAATATTTAATGTTACTCTTGTGTTATCATAACTTGATAAGTTATCACGAAAATCTGAGTAAATATCTAGTGAAACAGAAAAGTTTTGTCCCGAAGAAACAAGTTCAAGTTTTATTACTTAATATAAAACCGTTATATTTCAGGCATACTCTTTTAACAAATGGGCTAATCCTTTGGCTATAACTATTAATTTTATTTTTTTATAAATTATTGGATTGGTAGGTTACCTAATTGTTACTAACTCTGGACTTTGATCTACTGTTTACTTTGGTACTTAAATTTCTTAGAATTAAGAACACTGCTTTTTTTGTTTCAAATACTTGAATGTGCATCTTTCTTTTTTCAAATTGACAGTCAACAGAAGCCGTCCTCATTTTAGAGTATATGGATGGAATACGTATAAATGACTATGAATCTCTGGAAGCTTTTGGTGTTGACAAGCAGAAGATTGTAGAAGAAATTACACGTGCATATGCCCACCAAATTTATATTGATGGATTTTTCAATGGGGACCCTCATCCTGGTACTTGTTTTCAGTCGTATCTTCTTTTTACCCCTGTTGTCTTGAAAGTTTGTTTGGCCTTTGGAACGAGTCATAATGTTTAGTGCAACAATCAATTCCTCTACCGATTCCAAAGCTTTCTTGGATGTTTTGATGCAGGAAATTTCCTTGTTAGCAAGGAGGCTCCTCATCGTCCAATTTTACTCGACTTTGGGCTCACAAAGAAAGTTTCATGCTCTATGAGACAAGGACTAGCAAAAATGTTGTTAGCAGCTGCTGAGGTTTGGGTTAACTTTTCGTCATTTTTCTCATCTTAGAGTAAATATTTTTAAGAATTGTAGAAATTACAGGAATCATCTGCTGACTCAATGTATTGATTGTGTGAGTGTCTATGAGCTAATTACTCTGGCATGAAAGAGTTGTGTCCGTTTCTACTTTGTCAGTAATCTTTTACTTTCTCTCAACCTTCGATTGAACGGATCGTTCATGATTGTTAAGTATTCACCATAATGTTACTATTTCACCAATTATTTATTGTTCATGTCTCTGTGGTTTTGACATCTCTTCAAACTATTTCTCATTCCGTATTAAGAAATAATTGTATATTATTATCTGTCAAAGGGGGACCATGCAGCTCTTCTGTCTGCCATGGCAGAAGTGGGACTCAAGCTGTGTCTAGACCTGCCTGAGCAGGCTATGGAGGTTACAACTTTATTTTTCCGTGATTCCACACCAACAGATGAAGCTGAAGTAAGTTTGCACTACTCTCAAATTGTATTCTCAACTTAAAATTTCTTTACCTCTCATTAATCTCCCTGTGTACAGGATACCATGAAAATTGTTGCTGAGCAAAAGATAAAAAGCATGAAGTTTATACAGGAAAAGATGAAATTTAGCCCAAAAGAAATTAAACGCTTTAATCCTGTAAGGCATTTCATCACCTTTTTTTTCTGTATTTTTGTCTAAGACATTCATATTTTTAATATGGTTATACACTTTGGTTCCAGTTCGACGCCTTTCCTGGTGAATTTGTAATGTTTTCAAAAGTCCTTACTCTTCTTAGAGGTATGGCAATGAGGCCTCCATTCCTTACCTTGTGTTAGACAAATGTGCATTTTTATCTCTATTGGATAAATACACCCATGATGAAGGGGTGTGAGAAGTGGAAACTGCCAAAGGCAGTTTCTCACGAACCGTTCCTATATAAAAGGAAGGTTTTTTCTTTTAGAAAAAGGTTACTCACTACAACACACACAAAAATGCAAAGGAAAAGACGCTCTCTCTCTAGAATTTGGAAAAGAGAAATTCACTTTGTGGTTTTCTTCCATATTAACTTTATTGCTTCAGAGATAAGGAAAAGAGGTATTTATGCTGTGTAAATTCATTGTAGTTCATTTATATACAAATGTGATTGCAATGGTGACTATGATCTTGGGATTATTTTAGGATATATGTTATTCTATGTTATTTCCAACATTGGTATCAGAGCCGTGGTTCATATTGTTTTAAATTCATACTGTTAATGTTGAAGCATGTTATTGGTTTGTTAAATGCAGTTCTGAATTTTTCAAATTTTGTACGTAAAAAGTTGTCATTTTGGTAATGATAATTAGACCATTAAATTCCTTATGAAATTATGAAGAAAATGGTTTTTGAATCATAAAAAAATGAGTTAAAATGACTTAGTTATGCCTCTTTGAAGTTTCGGGTTTCGTATGGGTTGATTTCCGGGTCGGGTACCCAGTTGCAGACCCAGACAGAGGTTGTAAGATGACAAGAACCGACATGTCATTTTCGATCCTAACTGATGAATGACATGTCGTTTTTCCTGTTTGACTTTTTTTTTGAAAAAAATTCAAATAGGCATGGGTGGTGAGACTTGAACACAAGTCTCCATGGTTGAAGTCCAATACCCTAACCACTGGGCTAATTTTGTTTTTGTGTTAACTATATTCACAAAGCCAATATATTCCTATCCGACCCAACCCATAACCAAAATAAAAATTGGGTCAAGTTGACCCGACCCATATGAAAAAACGGGTTAGTCAAACCCGATAATGAGTCAAACACGACCCGTAAAGTCAAACGAGTTAGTCAAACTCGGTCAACACCCGACTCGTAAAAGTCAACAAGGTTAACGGGCCAAACTCGGGTCAGGATTGACCCGGTTGAATGTGGAACGGGTCGACCCAACCCGAAATTGTGTGAGCACGTGGAGTACCCCGCAAGTGCGTGGTGGCGCGTGGCCTCTTCTGGTCGGCGCGTGGGGGCGTGTGGAAGCTCCTGCCGGCACGTGATGGCGCGTGGCCTCTTTTGGGCGGCGCGTGGAGGTGCGTGAAGTATTCTAAATTTTTTTTTTCTTTTGCTGTAAGGAATAAAAATGAATACTTGGTATGTTGTTATGAGTCTAATTTTTTTATTGAACCATAAACACGTATATATATTATTTATCAAATATAGTCAACCTTTATTTGATAAATAAATAGTTTTTTTTTGTATTTGTTACAGAAAAATGTTACGTTATAGACGTGCAATGGTTGGTAGAACACCCGCTCAAAGGGAAAGGGTTATGAACATGATTAAAACTCTACAAACTCACACATTGATTTTAAAAGACATAGAGGATGAGTTGGTGCAACTCGTAAATCATTTCATTCATTTGAATGAAATGATTCAGGAACATGGTTGGATAGGGGGATTAAAGGAAGATGAGTCGAAATACCAAGTTCTAAGAGAGACTCTTGGTTACCCTAATCTTTGGTCTCCTGATATGGTTTGGACCAAGCTGAAAGTTCATAACTTTAAAGATGACAATAAAAATTATAGACGTTCAGTCAACAACTATATCAAGGAGTACACAGATTGGGGTGTGAAAAAGACAGTTGGTGCATCAATAGGAGTGTCCACTTGTAAAGGACATCACAAGAAACTGGGAGTTTCCCTGCCTAGGGTTAATTAAAGTTAGATAAAGACCTTAGGATAAGGATTATCAGATCCTTCTCAGTTTTAGGAATGGCTGTACACTTAATTTTTTTTGAAATGTTTGTTTTAATTTCATTACATGTTGAATTCTATTTATATAATGGATTAATTTATTATTAAAATTTAAAAATTATGTAAATTGATGTTGATTATATTTATATAATTGTGTCTAAATATATTTTAGAATTGCAATTATTAATCTATGATAATTGGAAATTGGAATTTTGGATGATGATTGGTGAATTGTTAACTTTGATTCCAAATCTAATATACAATTATTATTGGTATAATTACTAATGAACATGTATGTTCCGAGCATTGAATAACATGCATTATCCAACGTTTAATTTGTTTTAGAAATGGCTCTGCATCTAAGAACATGTCGTCGAACTTAACAAGGAGAAAAATTTAACAGCGACAATTTGAGATATGGAGTATGAAAATCAATAGTTTTGGAAGAACAAGAGGTTTTGAAGCTCTACTACAATATGGAAGAGCCTGAAGAAGAAGTCACGACTCAACATAGACGAGACTGTGAGTTATGACATATGGAAGAAGAAGAATTCCACTGCTCGCATACTTTTGTGAGTAGCATGGACAATGATCTCATGAAAAAGTACCGAGATACGAATTAGCAAAGGACATGTGGTCCGCACTTGCTACAAAGTTGTGTGGGTACGTCTATTACCAAACTCCGTCACTCACTATCAAGTTTGACCAATATAAAAAGAAGCCTGAACATAATGAGAGTACATTTATGGCATTTGTCAAACATGATAAGGAGTTGAGAGATGCAGGTCATGTCTTAACTGATGAACAACAGGTTCAAGCTGTCATAAGATCATTGCCTCAAAATTGGGAACATATGAAAATACACTTACCCATAATGAGGCATCAGAAATTTAGAAGATACCATACGCCATTTGGAATTGGAAGAAGATCGCCTTAATGCGAGTAAGGAAATACTGATGTGTATATGGCTGGTTCTAGTTCACATGGTGGGAAGGGATTTAAACGTAATTCCGAGGTGGATCCTAAAGAAAAGGCAATACTGATAAGGCTCAAGGGAAGAAGAGAAAGTTCTTCAAACACGGAAAAGGAAAGCATTCTGCGAAAGAGAAATATGGCAAGGGTGAAATGTTATAATTATGGTAACAAGGGACATTTTGCTCGCGATTGTAGCGAGCCGAATAAGGTAAATTACTTGTTTGCACAAGTAAGTTATATAAATGTTTCCAATTCTGTTTTTCTAACTGAGTCTCATCCTTTGTGGATGTAGATTCAGCAGCAACAGACCACATAGCGATAGACAGGAGTGTGCTTTCGTGGAGTTTCGACGAATACCACGGGAAACAAAATGGTATATGTAGGTAACAATTCAAAAGTGGAAGTTAAAGGGATCGGCACATGCAAATTGATCATGCGTGGAGGTCGAATCTATATACATGACGTGTATATGCACCGATATTTGTCGAAATTTGATTCCGTGTTAGAACTTGTTAAATTTGGTTTTAATTTAAATTTTTTCAGTACTGGTGTCCATTTATTTTTTGACACAACATACTATGGTTGTGGTTATTTTCTGATGGTTTTATAGTATTTGATGTTGCTTATAATAATAGTAATGTTTGTTTTTCTTTATTACATCTTCTAAAATGATGATGTGAATGTATGGCATGCAAGGCTTGGCCATATTGGCCAATAACGAATAATATCCTAGCAAGAGAAGGCTGTTAGGATCCTTAACAAAAGTAGACTGACCACTTGTGAACATTGCCTAGCTGGAAAAACAGATGAAAACCATTTGAAAAAACGATAAGAGCTGAGTTCCATTGCAACTAATTCATTCTGACATATGTGGTCCAAGAATGTGAGGGCTAGACATGGGGTTTTTTTATTCATCACATTTATAGATGTTTCACTCGATATGGTTATGTTTTCTTGATTTCTCAAAAATCAGAAGCTTTAGAATGCTTTCAGAAGTTTAAAAACTTAGTTGAGAATCAATTAGATAAAAAGATAAAAGTTTTGTGAACCGATCGAGGTCGTGAATATTTATCTGATCAGTTCAGAAATTTTTGTGTGAAATGGGAATAGAACGTCAATAACTATTCCAAGAACTCCGCAACAAAATGGGGTTGCAGAACGAAGAAACAGAACCTACTTGAGATGGTGAGGTCTATGATGGCACAAGCAAACTTGCCATCACCTTTTGGGGTGATGCCTTATTGACTGCCACATATATTCTCAATCGAGTACCATCCAAATCTATTACTACTACACCATATGAGTTATGGACAAATCGGAAACTGATTTGAGTTCTTAAAACCATGTGGATGTGCTGCCTGTTCATGATCTTCTCATAAATATGGAAAATTAGGTTAAGGGGAAGGAAATGTATTTTCATAAGAATTCAGAACATTCAAGGGATAAGTCTTCATAGGAGAACAAGAAAATGGTAGCATCACTGAGTTTGAATTACGAGATGTCAAATCTTAGAAACCAATTTTCCTAAGAAGGGCGAGATAGGTAAAGACTTGTTTCTATATGAAACACAAGACCAAGGCAATTGTTGACGACAATCAGTGTTGATATATACATCCCGGGGGAGCAATATGGAAGTTGATGAATCAGTTTCAGATCCTCCATCATTCCTATTGGTGATCAACTATGATAGCTGGTCCAAGTGGGTAACACAACAATCTCCAATACGTCGATCAAACAGGAAACAAGTTCACGTCGAGATTTGAGATTGAAGGGGAAATTTTTCTAGTATATCACAAGATGACGAAGAGCCAAGGAATGTAAATGAGGCTTTCAATTGCTCTTCTAAGGAAAAATGGATGAAAGCAATGGAAGAAGAATTGGAGTCTATGAAATCAAACCAAGTATGGGAATTGGTTGATTTACCGAAAGGACGCAAAGCCATTGGGACAAGTGGGTTCTCAAAATCAAGCGTAAAGCTGATGGCAGTATTGAAAGAAACAAGCTCGCTTAGTCACGAAGGGGTATACACAACAAGAAGGAATAGATTATAAAGAAACTTTTTACCTGTTGTGCGGTTTACCTCCATCCGACTTATTCTAGTAGTTGCGAGTATGGATCTTGAATTGCATCAAATGAATGTAAAGACTGCTTTTCTCAATGGAGAATTACAAGAAGAAATCTATATGGACCAACCATGGTTTTATTAGAGAAGGTCAAGAACACAAGTGTGTAGACTTTTAAAGTCAATTTATGGCCTCAAGCAGTCTCAAGACAGTGGTATATTCGATTTCATAATGCGATAATGTCGTATGATTTCAAAGTGATAAATGAAGATCATTGTATATACAAAGAGATCCAATAACAAATTTGTTATATTGGCTCCGTTGGTTGCCAATTGGGAATACTACTTTTAGTATTCCCAAAAAAGTTAAACAGTAAAATACCCAAAAACTTTGATTTTGGGA